CATCCTAAAGGACCTAAACAAATCAAAGACAACTTAACATCACCAAGAAATAATCAAATCTAGGGCTGACACCACTAGGTCTGTTAGACTATTTGTAGTGGTTAGGTATTAGGAGTCTAAAATGTCAAAAATGGAAATTTTAGACTCTTAACTACTTACATTGGTGATCAATTTGGGAGTCTAAAAATGGAAAATTGGATAGAGGGTCTCAAATATAGAAGGTTAGTAGACGGCCAAAAAGAATGAAAAAAACGGAAGAAAAAGTGGACTAAAGAAAAGGGGGAAGAAGAATGGGACCACATAAAAAAAAATTTTCTTTTTTTTAAAGTCTTATAGCTTATTTATTTGTGATCCAATTTTTACAAAACATATATCAAAAATTTTAATTTTTTATGATCTTTCATATGACATGAATATCACATATATAAAATTAAATAATAAAATGATGTTCAAACTGCTAGAGTTTTTAGGCTAAAAAATACAAGAAACATAAATTTTTAATCCATTGTGCCTCCACAGATAGCCAAAAAGTAGTTGAACCCAATTTTGAACCCAACTTATATTTTAGTAGCAGAAAAAAGTGCAAAAGAAATTAAAGAATTTTTTATTTCTTAAGATCGAAATGTGCATTTTTACAAATGTAATAGAGAAGAGAATCCAATGTGATATGAATAGACACATCAAGTTGAGAAGCGAATCCGATGTGTTATGGATAGACACAAAAGTTGAGAAGAGAATCCAATGTTCCAAAATTTTAGAACTCGCTACATCGAAAAACGTAAAAAAATATTAATAAAATTTATTTATTTTTTACATCAAAATGTGTCTTTTTTATTTTATAATTAATCAAAGAAAAAATTAATAGTAAAACATTACTTATAATAATTTAATTAATGATTTACTAAATTAATATGTAAAGAAATGTGCAGAGTGTATTTTATTGACGGTGTTGGAATGCAGAGAAATAGGAGTCAAAACACTGTTTTCATATTGACGGAGTTCATTTTTGACATTTAGACTCCCACACCACTACAAATGGTCTTACAATAACCACCTGTGGTTGACTCGTTATGCACGTGTGGCTTATCCAGGTGTTCTGTTAGACAAAGGACAATCACCTGTAATTCGTATCAATCAATCATCAAATCTCCCACCTATCAGCCCATACATCACGTGGCACATTCTTATTAGACTAACTATTATATTTAGTCACCTTACAACTTATGGAAAGGGATCTGAATTATGAGTTTTAACATATCGTTACTCTGACAAATTTTATACTCAAGCTCATACTTTCTCACCCCCAGTCCCTAAGGACTAGCTATCACATCTGAATCTCATATTAGACACTAAGGTTTCAAGTGAACCAAATAAACACATATTTAATGCTTTTTATCATTTTTTGACACCCATCAAAGATTTGTCAAACTTCATCAACAGATGCTATTGTTATTCCCTTTCCTTTTTTATATCTAATCAAATAAAAATACATTAATTGATGTGTTTAGATTTAGAATATATAATTAGAGATCTCCAATGCTATATATAATGTGCACGGTGCACATTAGGCATGAGAGAGATAGACACAAAAAATTGAATTTATAACATTTCTCATTTCTCTCTCATTCTTTCCACGGTTTTATGTCTTTTTGGTAAGTTTTCCTCTACAATGTCTACATCTAGACATTATGTTTGACATTGTGAAGAAAAACTTACCAAAATAATATATTATCCTTCAAATAAGAAGAGAGATATTCAATTTTTTTTATTGTCTATCTCTCATGCCACATATGCACCGTTCACGTTTTAGCATTGGAGATGCTCTTAGAACATCCCCAATGGTACAATGTGCACGGTGCACATGTGACATGAGAGAGATAAACACAAAATATTGATTTTATGACATTTCTCTCTCCTTTTTTTCCACGGTCTTATGCGTTTTTGGTAAGTTTGTGTCTGCAATGACAACCACAATGTCTACATCTAGACATTGTGCTTGACATTGTGAAGAAAAATTTACTAAAATGATGTAAGATCCTTTAAATAAGGAGAGAAAGATTCTATTTATTGATTTTTAATTGGTTGTTTCTAATGCGACGTAGTATGCACTGTTAACGTTTTAGCATTGAAGATGCTCTTAGTGTAACATTATTTTGAAATATTTGAATTAATCAAATAATAATGTCCCATAAGTGTGGTGCAATGATGGCGGATATTGTAACGGTTTCCGTTACAAGAGCCACCTTGATGGTAGGTGGCTATATAAGTGCTCCATGGTCCTCCCACTCCTCCTATCACAACATACATTCACATGTATGCTTAGCTCCATATCCGAATAGGCTCTAAGCAATATACACCATCTAGAGTGAGGAGTGAAGTGGGAGACGAAAAGGATTTCCGGTGTTCTTCCACGTTCTTCGACCGTTCATCAACAATATGGCTGGAGGTTAGCGATCCTATTATTTCCGCTGCGTTGTTATGATTTTAGGCTAACACTTAGATGTTCAAATTAAGAAATTCTATTATAATGTAACTAAATTCTTTAATTCCATTAAATGAATTTAATCCATCCATATTTCTCAAAGTTCCATGAAAATGGTATAAATTAAAACTCCTAAATACTATCGTATATTTTTAACTTTTTTTTTTTAAAGGAACATCTTTTAACTTCTTAAATGTAAAGAGTTCAAAAAATTTATATATCTCATCAGAGAGTGAGAGGGCATCAGGGCATGTTGATTTTTATGAATTTAGTATGAGGGAAGAATTGAGCGATGTCCTGAATGTAAGGATCATGATAGCTATTATACCTATATAAGCCATTTATCTAAAAACATGGAAAAAGGGTCAAACAAGTCATTCTACTATTTTGAATTCCTCACTTAAGCTCCTCTACTAAAAAAGTATTATATAAGTACGTCTATTTTTAAAATACAATCAACCAAGTCATTTGACCTGCCAATGTAGGTTATTTTTTTAAAGTTAACTTAGGAATATTGATAAATCTTACAAAAGTTCATATAAATTTGAATAAATAACCTATAAATTTTTTTATAAATGTAGAAATAGATAAAATTTGAAAAACATTAATATAAAAAAATAAAAAAAAATCATAAAACTGAAAAATTAAAGTGAAAATAAAAAAATAAATAATAAAAAAATTTAAAAACCTTTCAAATAGATGTAGAACATACAAATATTATTAAAAATTAGAAAATATTAACTTTGATATTCTTAAAATTTTCTCAATTTTTGTATATATTTCTTCAAATTATTTTTAGAGTTTTTAAATATTAAAAACCTCCTACTATACTACAGGTAAAAAAGTGATTAAACGGTCAAATTGATCAATTTTGTAAAGTAGAAGTACTTATATGATACTTTTTTAATACACAGGTTTAAGTGATGGATATGAAATAATAGGTATAAATTTATTTTATTCGCGTATAATTCACATATAATACACTCAAACATATAATTCACGTATAATACTCCTGTTGATGATTTTTTCAGAAATTTTGAAAAATTCACGTACTCTAAGAATAAAATGTATAATACGCGTACATTTTAATGAAAACTAATGGAGTGATACAATTGAAGCAAAGTATCTAGCGGCTCAATACTATTTATATTACCTTAAAAATTAATATGCCTTAGACGTTGTTAATTGTTTAATACTCCGTAGTACATAGTTATTAGCTTTAATAAATAAATAAATTCCTTAAAGTCATAATATGTTTGAATATTACTATTGTATTATTCTTGAGCTCCACTCATACCAAGACTCCAAAGAGGAAAAAATATTGCGGCAGCTAACCAAACTCGTGGCCACAATAATATCAATTATTCTTTAATAATATCTCTCTACTTCTATTTAAATAGGCAATGTCATTTTTATTACTTATTGTATCTATGAATTCAAATTTGTATATCTGAAAAAACTATTTCGTAAATTTTAAATGGTTGAAGAATGCGGTGCATATGTTAAATTACTCTTTATTTTTCTATCATTAACGTAGTATGTAAGACACATATTATATGCTTTATATTTTAATTGTGAAACGTTTAAAACACATATGTATCTTTATTCGTTTCACGAACGTATGAAACATATATTTAGCCATATTTTATATAATTGTATCATATTATACAGGAACATATGTATTACTTTATTATTCACGAAAACCGGTATAATACTAACAAACTTTTCCCAAAAAACATTCAAAATAGTCTAAATTTGTGATCATTGCAAATCCAAACAGAGGTATATCTTGACCCGCTCATCCTTGTTTCTCTGGGTTTAATGCACCAAATCCCCTCGTGATATAGAAATTCAGCGCATTAGCCCCCTGTGATTTGAAAAAATGCGTCAAACCCCCTTGTGTTTTAATTAATCATGCATGTAACCCCTTTTAAGAATAAATTTAACGATTTGAAAACCACTTTTCCTAATATTCGGATTGAATATGTAAGTAAATATGTCGAAATTTCTAAATCATACAAAAATGTTGATCATTTTCTTTTATTTGACAATTGAATTTGTTTTTAGAAGAGATTTGATGCATGATTAATTAAAATACAAGGGAATTTGAAGCATTTTTCAAAGGAAAAATTGACAAGAATAATCTCACTTTTCACTGGTCTTCTCATAATAATCCCACCTTTAAATAATCCCAAATTAATCTCACTTTTGCACCTCATCTTCTTTCATTGGACCCTGACCATGTTTTTTACTCTTTCTTTGAAAATTATACAAATAATCTCACCTTTCACTTTTTAATTATATCCTTATAAATGTTAGATTATTTATATAAGATTTTTAAAAAAGGTAAAAAACTTGGTCAGGGTCCAATGAAAGAAGATGAGGTGCGAAGGTAGGATTATTTTGAGATTATTTAAAGGTGGGATTATTATGAGAAGACCAGTGAAAGGTGGGATTATTCTTGTCAATTTTTCTTTTTTCAAATCAAAGGTTGGTGCATTAAACCTTTCTACCAATGGCCCGATTTGAATCTGGAGCAGTGATTCTCAACCCAGCTATAGATTTGGGGGATGTCCCTCATGTCCGTATTTTTTCACTGCAATTTCTCACGTTTTACCGCCCTGTAACCTCCCCAATTCTTCTTTCTACGGGGCGGACATTGTTGCTAATGATAATCAAGCGTTTTTGCTACGATCCAACCAATTGCCAGTTCCCAGTAGTTGTCGCAATCTTCTGATTCATGTGGTGAGGCACCTGTATTCTTTTGTACATTGCGTTTTCTCGTATCTTCTTTGATTTGTGTGAGTTCATTTATTCCTACTGCGATGCTCTTAATTTATTGAGTTTAGGGTTCTTTTAAGGTTGAGAATTGAAGAAATCAGTAATTAAGTTCCATTTTATTTACTTTAAATGTTTACTTTTCATTGATTCATGGATTTTGTATAGTGTTTGAAAAAACTATCAAATTACTTTATTTCTTTTCACATATTTCGTTGTGCAGCATTTCAAGTTAGACACTTAACCATTTTTAGTATAACGTTCAATTTCTCGTCCCAAAAATATTGAATTCCTAGATTTTGCAATATTGAAAGTTGAAGAAATTTAACAACTTTTTTTGTTGCCTACTTCCTAAGAGATAAATAAGTTTACTCAAAAGGCCATTTTGGTAGTGCCTTATTTTTTGGTAGTGCCTTATTTTTCAACAGAATAAGTAGCCTTTTGACTTATATGTGGCTGAAATGGATTAGTCATGTTACCAAAAGCTTTTGCATTCGAAAAATTCAGCCATTTCAGCCATATCACCCTTCTCACTCGTGCACTCAGTTGGTTTGTTAGTAATTCAAAGAAGCTCTTTTAACTGGTGTCTAGTCCAATGTTTAATTGATTCATTTGTGCATTTTTCCATTTTTCTTCGTTTTAAGCACATTTGGAGGAATTTATATATGCATGATTTCACATTCTGTTAGTAAATTATGGTCGGTGTTTGTGTGTATCTGTGTTTACATAGACTTGGTTTCTAGTTCTTCTGAGAGGAGTAGAGGAGTTAGTATATGGAGAACATTCCCGTTGAGGTGGTGGGTAACATACTACACTGGCTAGACTCTGCACGTGATGTGGTGGTTGCATCTGCGACCTGCCGGAAGTGGAGGGAGGCATGGAGAAACCATCTCCACTCTCTCATTTTCTGCTCGAATGACTGGCCTGTGTACCATGAGTTCACAAGGAGTAGATTAGAGATCATCATAACCCAAACAATTTTCCAGACCCATGGACTGCGCGGCCTTTCGGTAATAATGGAAGATGTGGGTGAGTTCTCTGCTGCCCCCGTCATTGCTTGGTTGATGTACACGCGGGATACTCTACGTCAGTTGAATTACAGTGTGAAAACCTCACCTAACATTAACGTCTTGGAGATCTGCGGGCGGGAGAAGCTGGAGGTTCTGGCACTCGGGCACAATGTGATTACTGGGGTGGAGCCCACTTACCGAAAGTTCATTGCCTTGAGAGTTCTGACACTGGACTGCGTGAGTGTTTCAGCTTTGGATTTGAGCCTCTTGGTGGCAGCATGCCCAAAGATAGAGGTTCTGAACCTGATGAGCTTGGATATCGTCATGTCAGATCCGCAAGCGACAATGGAGCTAAGCAGCAGGTCACTGAGGGATGTTTACGTGGAGGAGCTCAACCTGGAAAAGGTGGTTATGGAGGCTGATAATTTGGAGAAGTTGCACCTGAAGGACTGCACGCTTGAAGACTTTGAGCTGGTGGGCAAGGGGGGAAAGCTCAGGGTCCTCAAGATTGATGATGTCAGCGTCATACATCTCGACATTGGCGAAGCCATAAAGAATCTTGAGTGTGTCGATGTGACCAATTTCACCATCACGTGGTCTAAGTTCCTCCACATGATATCCAAGTCCAAGAGACTTAAGAAGCTCAGACTCTGGGGAGTGGTGTTGGATGACGATGACGAGGAGGTCATCGGCCTCGAAGCCATCTCCTCTTGTTTCCCCAGGCTGAGTCAACTCTCATTGAGTTATGAACTGAAAGAGTCCGCGATTGAGTACGGGTTGGCAGGCTCCTTCAAGTTGAGCAATGTTTTGGTTTTGGAGCTCGGGTGGACGGTCATTAGCGACCTATTCTCAGACTGGGTCGGTGGCCTTTTGGAGAAGTGTCCCTGCCTCAAGAAGTTGGTCATACATGGGGTCGTCTCAGAAACCAAAGGCCAACTAGAGTGTCAGACCTTGGCTAACTTTACATCGTTTATTGTGCGGCTTATGAGGAAGTATATTGATGTTGAGGTTCTCTTCGAGTATGATTAACAAGTACTAGATGGTTTTGGCAATACAACTCTCTCCTTTGTAGCTGCTCATTCTTGGCTTTGTATGTAAGGGTACATTTTTGCTATTGTCTCACTTCCTAATTGTTTGTTAAACCATCGGTTCACTCCCGTTCCCGGGTTTTGTTTCATGATGGAATTATAATCAAGGATGGTTAGAGATGTATTTCGAAATGTCTCTGTTGCGTATAAATGTGTCATTGCAGAAGATATTTTTAGTGATTCAAGATGTTTTTCCTTGGACTATTTTCAATTTTACCAGGAGAGACGAGACCGGACTTGGATAGTTATAACATGCAGAGACCAGACATTTATCAGACTAAACTAGAACAACAAATTTAAGTCCAAGTAAAAACATTTTAAATCTTTTATAATGTGATGTAGTGTTCATATTCTTGAAAATTCTTGTTTGACGTGGAGACCGTGGAGTTTAAAAAATTGTTTTAAATGTCCAAACTCGAAGTAATGCTTCTCTTGCACACACATATGCATATATACATCACCACAGAGTAGCATTCCTGTCCGCCAGTGATTATTTAAATTGTTTTTTTGAAAGATTATTTAAATTGCTATAACCATAAATTTACTGAATAGTCCAATTTTTAAGTTCATTAGTATACTGTCTATCAACTACTCCATAAAAGTTTTAATTGTTAGATCTTATATTGTTCAAAAATATTTCTTATTTTTTTTCCGCTAAAGGTTCAGTACATGAACTAACTTAAAGTGTTCAATTAGCCCCTTATATAGGAGGTTCTGCCTGGCCGTCGCCAATTGGGGTGGTTGCTGGTGGAATTTGTTGATAAAATTTTTTGAGCATTTTCTTCATTAAGTCTAGTTTACCCATATCAAATTTCAGCTTTAAATTAAATCGGAAAGGGAGTCAAATGATTTTCCGAAATGTACTGCGCTGTTTAACTGCGCAGTTATCTTCAAAAAATCATTTGACTGCCTTCCCGGTTGAATTTTTAGCTGAAATTTGGTATGGGTAAACTAGACTTAATGAAGAAGATGCTCAAAAAATTTCAACAAAAAATTCCACCAGGAACCGCCCCAATTGGCTATGGCCGGGCAGAACCTCCTATATAAGGGGCTAATTGAACACTTTAAGTTAGTTCATGTACCTATTTGACCCTTTAGCCCTTTTTTTGTTAAAATGTATTCGTCATGATAGTAGTAATAATATATTATTACTATGAATTGAAGTTAATCACAACTTTAGTTGGCTCTGATACCATGTTCAGAAAAAAAATGTTTCATCCTATTAAAGTTGAAAAATTTGAAATATTTTAAGCTTAGAGTTAAAAAGATTTTCAATTAAAACTTTAAATGCTCGAAAATGACAAAAAATCTCACTCTTAGTGCGCATAGGATGAACTCGAGTAAAACGAGAAAAATCATCAATAAAACAAACATAATATTAATTGCCAAGGTAGAGAAGAATTATGGCTAGCATTTGAAAAGGGTAATTGTTGATATTTGCCTAACCGGCAAGAAACACACTCATAGGAAAAGTTGATGAACTACAAATAAGGTTTTGAGCAAATATAAGACCTCTTTCAGTACTTCCAAAAAGGAGACCACCGGTCTGATCGTTTAATAACTTTTAGGATCATAATCTATATCTATATAATATAATAAAGCAAACCTTTGTGGAATGCTTTAGAGAAATTTTTGACATGTGGCAATTCTCTTCATTCAAAAATCCGCCAAGTGGCAGCTCCATATTAATACAATATCATTATGAAGCTCAAAGCAAACCTTTTGAGCTTCTTAACCCATGTTACATACATCAATTATAAGCATTTAAAATGATCAAGAAAAATGCATTCACCTTCCAAAAAACTCCACATATATATACTTCGTATTACAGTAACGGTTTTGTCCAGTCGGATGGACATGACCTTCTGTCTGGCCGACATCATTAGGGTCTGTTTCCGGTTGAAGTTTTTGAACATGTTTATGAAATCTAGATTATATCCACAAATTTTCAGCTTATATTTAATCGGGAAGTCAGTTAAATAAATTATTGAAAAAAATCTGCTGTTATACTTAATCGAGAAGTCAGTTAATTAACTTATTGAAATAAACTGTGCCAAACTATATACATAATTGTCGTTTTTTTTCAATAATTTATTTAAATGACTTCTCGAACTGAAATTTTGTGGACATAATCTACACTTCATGATGAACATGCTAAAAATTCATAAAAAATTTCACCGGTAATTTTCCCAAACATCGGTCTGTCGGTCGAAGGATCCTATCCGGAAGACTGGACAAGATCTTTTTCCCTCATAAGCAAACGATGCCCCCTTATAATACATCGATTACTTATGTCATCATATTTCTTTTTAATGCATTGATCCCACTTCTTATTGCACTCGCTTTTATGGTTATTTTGCCCACCTACTTATCTGCTTTAGCAGCTGAAATAGACACATAATTATTAAAATAAAGATTAAAAATTCTCGAAAAGTTTTAGTTAAAATTCTTCAAAGCTAGATTACATTTTCTCTAGACAGGTTTTTGATAGATCATCAACCGATAAAACTATTTCAATCTCAATTTACTAAGCACACTGATTCACTATATAGATTAATCATTACATTTTTTTTTATCAAGTATGGTGTTCTATTATTGTAATTATATTGCTTATTCTAGGGAATCAAGATTCATACAACAATTAGGGAGATGTTGATTTATAAGTTTGAGAGACTTATGGATGAGTCCAAATTCTACATATGAAATGGTTTGAAAATCATGCTTAAAATACCTATAAAACATAATGTTATCAATTAGACTAGACCATGTCACCTCCTAATAATGATGGCGATGATAATGTTGTTGTTGTTGATGATGATGATAATAATAATTTAATAATAATAACAACAATAACAATAATAACAATAATAAAAATAATAACAATAATAACAATAACAACAACAACAACAACAACAATAATAATAATAATAATAATAATAATAATAATAATAATAATAAAAGTAATATATCATATCGATTTGATTTGAAAATTTCACGTCTGGTGTGGATATTTTTTTATGTGATTTAATTTGATCTGTATCGTCTGATCTAATCTTCTGATATGGTCTGAATAAAATAAGAATAAAGAATAGATATTGGACATACATAACAGCTCCTAGATCACAAGGTCTACCACATTAACATGGATGTAGAGGGTCGATTCAATCTTTTGTCTAAGTTTTATTAGTATCTTTCTCCTAAGTTAAGATTTATCTGTCTTCCTCCCATTCTTGATTCAACTATATATTCAATTCTATTTTTCAACAATAATCTTTATGATTTTTAAATTCCTTCTTGGCGACTCGATATAACTCATTGAAGTGCACAGTTTATGAGTTCACGTGTGATTTAGTATCGCTTCTATTTTAAGATTTATTTTCATTCGTAATTTTTCATAACAAATACTAGAACATATTTTTCCGTGCGATGCACGGGTACATATACTAGTATCAAATATGCCCCTCCCAATTAATACTAGGTACTCCGTATGCAATAATTAAATACTCCTTCTGTCTCTATATTTTCTTCAAACTTTCCTTTTTTGTCTGTCTCAAAATTACCTTTTCTTTCTCTTTTTGGCAAATAAGTTGTGGTTCACAACATTTATTACACATTCTTATTCATTTCTCTATCCTCTGCACAACTCTCCACCACACAATACTCACGATCTTAATCCGCATGTCATTTGTACTTCAGGAGATAAATTAGGGAAAGAGGAAGTACTATGTATGTCTCATTGTTTGTAACCGTTCCCTACTCCTGAAATTGCCCCATGCAAGGACCACAAAACTGTGTTGACCTTTATATCTCTCCCAATTTACATTTATCCGGTATCAATTTACAGTTACTTGACGTGATCAATTACAATGACACTTTTGATCGGTTATATTTATCCGCCCGATCAATTACAAATGCATGCTCAATCAATTACAACTACTCGCCCGACTAATTACAGTTACCCACTTCCAGTTACACTTACCCATTGGACCAGTTACAGTTACTAGTCCGACCAATTACAATTACTCGTCCAACCAATCACAATTACCCAAAACCATTTACAATTACATGTCCAACCAATTATAGTTATCTGCCCAACCAATTATAGTTATCCACCGCCCATTACAGTGAGAATGACCTAGCAACTCGACTCGATCACCCGCCGCCACCCCTGCCAGGCTGCCAATGCTCCGGTTAGTGACCCGTTCACCGTGACCTAGGTCAGTGATGAGTTTTTTTGGGGTACACAAAATGTGTACACAAACTGTGTACACATGTTTGTCCTTAACAGAAATTTTGTTTGTCACAGACAACTTTGAGTTATCTGTGACAGACAAAATTTCTGTGAAGGACAGACACATGTAGACATTTTGTGTACCCAAAGCATTACACATACGGAGTAATTCTCAACTGGATCTGCCAGCCGTCATCGTCGTGCGTCACCTCGTTGGCCTGACCGCTGCCCCACCAGTCCATCTCAGCCTCCTCTCCTGTTCCCCAATCCCGCTCCGCCTCTGTCCGCAGCTCAACCCTGATCCACTCCTCCACAGCCCCAGCTCCGACCGGCCCAACACATCCCCAGCCAACTACGGCCCAACCTTAGCCAAAAACTCTAGCCGTCGAACCAAATCTGGCGTCAGAAGAGATGAGGAAGAAGGAACACATAACAAACTTGCAGAGGCGAAGTCACTGCACCACTGCCACCCATTCACTGCCCCAACTACGACTAGCCCAAACCCATCCCCATCCCCATCCCCATCCCAACCCACCGCCTAACCCTAATCAACCTTAGCCATAAACCGGAGTCGTTGCCGATTGGAGGTCGTAGCCATCTTATTCACCTGTGGTCCTCGTCGTCACCGTTTCCTTCACCCTACATCAGACAGAAAACAAAGAGAAGAAGCATAGAAGCCGCTAGCGCGATGTGAAGGCAGATGAAGTGATTTGGAGGAGAAGGGGGCGAGCTAATGGCGGAGACGAAGACCGGTTGTCTGGTGGTGCGCTCAGCATCTACTCGTAGTTTGGTCATGGGTCATAGATGAGTGAAGGAATAGATGGCCTTAGGGGTGGGCAAGAATCCCGGTCCCATTGTTCCATTCCGGTATATCCCGAAATCGTACCGGTGTTGTCCCGTTCTGCATGGGATTCGATTATTTTGTCCCGCACCGGTCCCGTACCGGTTTAAAAC